GCAGGAGTTATTTTTAGTTATTTATTTATGTTAGAGATAGAAATCATGGTGCCTTATGGACAGTAAATAAGAATGGTGACGAAATATAAATAAATAATCAACAATTATGCTTAAATAATATGTTTTAAGGTAGGTAAAATGTTAATAATTAAATCAATAATATACATATAAATGATAAATCGAATAAAAAATATAATAAAAGTTAGTTTAATAGACTAATTAGAGCAAAGTATGATACCGAGGATGAAAGAAAAGTATATATTTTAAATAATATTCTTCATAGTCTGAAAAAACTACGCCTTCAATTTTACTCCTATTACTTTTAAAGACTGCTTGACAAAATGGGTGCATTTCATAAACATTCAGCTTCCTGAAGAGGTCGCGCTTTAACATGGGGCTTTCTTCTTCAGCTGCTGAAAGTTTTCCAGTATTTTGCCTTTACCATAGAAAGTGAGGCATTCTTTCCGTAGCTACCTGTACTATTAGCATTTATCTTCTGTTAATAAAAATTTTGCATAAATAATATGATTTTCTGTTAAAGGATATGTGCCGTAAATCTAGATAAGTTCGAAAATGAAAAGAATTAAAACCCACTTTACCCTTGCAAGCATGAATGCTTTCTCTGGAACACGAACCCAGATTCAAGGTTGTGATAGCTGTCTGCTCTACCACCATGCTAACAGAGCGGCGTGAAATTAAATAATTTTCTCGTTTTATTACAAAGTCTCTAAATAGTTTTAGAAGTACTGATCGTGAAGACTGAGAACTTCATCCATAGATATTCTTCATGATGAGGTATTACAAGGAATTTTTGGAAATTTTATTCACTATAATTATTAAGATTAGATGCGTAAGCTTGCCGATACTGAATTAAGAAAATTTATTATGGCTTTATTATGTCATTACTATGCTTGTTATGTCATTAACATTAATTTAATTGATCATCCCTTACATTTATTCATTTATTTGTTCATCATTCCGAGCAACATTTCATAAGGCTTTAGTACTTTCAGAATATAAGCTCTAAAGATGAAAAACTTGCATTCTTCAGTTCTTCATTCTTTTATTAATTCATACTTAATTAGATGAACTGTGGGTTTATGTTTATGTAGTTGCTAAAAATAATTTTTAATTTGCTTGTGCATCTTTAATCTTACCTATTTGATTCGCAACGATTATAAATCCATCCCCCTTCACATTTTTCTTCGGAACAATACCGATATAAATCACACTCATGCCACCACAAGCTTGAAAATGTGAATTCACAAGCCTTAAACTGCTCATTCAGATCTCCATAAAATATGCTTTGATCTCACATCATTGAATGTAAGTAAATTCACCCTGTTGACAATATAGAGACTTGTCGCATCGTATCGTATATACAATAATTCTATAACGGTATAATGCAAGTATGCAAAGTCAAAAATCGCATCGTGTATGCAACATTTTGTAACAGAAGTCGAAAATTTTTCCAAAACGCCCAGATCTTAAACAGCTGTGATTAAATTTTAGCCGGCAGTTTTATCAATTTTGGCATTTTTGGGTGAGAAGATAAGCAAGATGAATTGCTCATATGCACGTTGTCAGTTCATTTTATTACTGTTGCTTAACGGCTCCTATCTCGTATATATCTTAAGAAGGCATATAAAACTGTAAAGAATATGTTATGCAAAAGAATGAACAAATGAGAGCATCTTTTAACGCACACAGCTAAAACATTTCACGAGTACAGCCTTCCTTTTGAGCGTAGTTTTACTGATTATACATTCAAAAATGTAATTGCTCAATTATTCTTAGCAACTCTGAAATTTTAATCTATTTGGAAGAGCGTACTGCCCTTGTGGCATGTATGTCTTGCTTTACTGTAAACATAATTTAAGAAGCTGAAAGTTAATTTCATAATTTTATTTCATTTTAACTGCTTATAAAATTACGTAGTTATAAAGGAGGGTATATATATTAACTTTACTGACTCACCTATGCTGATAATGCTGTAAAAGGTTACTTACCCTTTCTAAATATTCTGCTTTGTTATCATTGCATCTCATATTTTCAATCAATCATACTTTTTTGCCAGTGCAATAATAATTCAAATGCTGCATGCTTCATAAAATGTTTAAAAAATTTGTCTTTCTTTCTTTTTTTTAAAGATTAGTTAATATCCTTGTACAGTTCTTGTAAAATCTGAACAATTCATCTGAATTATAAATTAAGGACCTCGAAGCTATTCTAGCTGAAAGGAATTTGGCGATCTGTGGATCTTATCTGATAGCTGTAGTTCCCTACAACATTTTAGCAACTGGGTCTCAGTGGACGATAAAACCAGTGTTTCCATCCTACATAAGCTGGTTTCGCTGCATCATGATGTTCATCTTCAGTGGATTCTATCTTATTTAGACATCTATGGCAATAAAATTGTTTAGCGCACAAAATGGCAATGGAAGGTTGAACTCATTTTGCTCCTTCCTCATTCGACCTTGCGTTTTTAGACCCTCCCCCCCCCAATAACGGGCAAGTCATCATATAGACGTTGGCCACTACTAAGACCAGAAGCAGCGGTCACTTTATTATGGAGACAGGTGTCTCCATAATAAAGCTCCACCTTTTCCTCCTATGAAGGGACGGGCAGTTACAGCCATGCCTTTTTCGAGCTTTGAATTCGAGTTCTTTGTTACCACAGTCGGCTACCCCTAACTACTGTACCATCTGTGCGGTCGTTTTTGGAACTATTCTGCCTGAAAAATTCACAAAACTTGGCGGAGTGGTTGGTGCCCAATAGCCATCACTGGTATCTGGGTTGTAGACCGGGAATGGCTCTAACTCTTGCATGAGACAAGAGCTCCTGGATTTCGCTTTCACAACTAGCAAGTAACCACATCAAGAGCCTCTTTTTCTATGTCGCTAGGAGAGACTTCGATACCTGCACCACATGCCACGAAAATCAAGCTTCGGTTGAACATATCTTAGATTGTTTAGGCCTCTCAAAAGAAGATATGTTTTCCAATACCGTTTTTGTTCTCGATTTTCTTGGAATCAACGCACTTTCGATCATGTCTGACCTCCTGAGACTTTTGGAGGATAAGCAACAACGGCAACATAACATTAATATAAAAATTGTCTGTAATTTTGACCTGAAAAATGCGTTTAGTCTAAATGTAAAATTCTCCTTTTATTTAAAAATGCCTCTGGAAGTTTAAAAATTAACCCTTCCCGCTTTAGAAACTGGACATTTAAAGATGCTTTTTTGACGTAGAAAATATCTATAGCATATTTGCATTCGGGTGTTAGAGCGGAATAGTGTACCTCCACTGAAGAAATGTATGATGTGATATCATCCAGAACAACATAATGTTGAAATGCAAATGAAGTTATAGCAGGTTTTGATTTTTTCGTGCTTAAAACTTTTAAATTAAATCTTTTAAACTTGAGATTTTAAGAAATACTAATAATTAACTAATTCCGTCATGGCCTAATTCAATTGAACTTATTTTAGGAAGTTGTTTCAAATTTTAGATGCACTGCATTAAGGTCATGTTTGCTAAACATTTAAGTATTTTTCATACAAGTCCGAGATCTGATAGCCTGTTAAATAGGAAAATATTGTTCTTAATGGAATTCTTAGAATACGTAGATGTTGTACAAAGTCTCATTTTTTTCGCTTCAGTTGTCTAAATTTGATGCACATGTGTGCTGTAATCATCCAATTCTATCAATCAGATATAAGGTTATTTTCAACGCAAGTGTTTGGCCAGTTGTCGGAGCTTTATTATCCACTTAAGCTTTTATTACGTTGATAGGAATGAAGTGGTGTTATCTATTTCTCTTTGTAAAATAACGCTTCTGTCTGAGATGTCTTTCTCCTTGACTTTTTTTTTTTTTTATTTGTAACAGCTGAAATCTAAAAGTAGCCTGGTTAAATCACAAGGCAAACAAAATCTTGAATGTTTCAATATCTTACTGATAAATCAAGAAAGAAAATTCAAAGCGAAGTTAAACAAAATGAAAACTATGTTAGTAAATAATTCCCAATTTTAAAAAGATATAAAAACAAAAAGTATTTTACGATAGTCATACTTCTCAAGCATGCTCCTCCATATTTCTTCCGATCGGACTGTGTAAAAATACAAATGCTTGATACATAATATAAACTATTAATATTTTGCGTGTTTATAGCTTTCAGTCCGTAGCAGGCGCAGAAAGCAAAAGCTTTTATGCACTCTCAGGAAAGAGTACGTGGCTACGTATACAGGGTGATTCTATGACATTAGGACAAACTTGGAGAGGTGGTCGAGCGCGCTAAAACATGCATTTTGTGTATAGGATTGTAGAGTCTAAAATCACATGTAAAGCCATGAACGCAAAAAAATGACACGAGAGGGAAAATGAGTTTATTTACAAAATCAACGCAAAGCGCTTCTTTGCAGCAATACACTATTCACAAGAAATGTTCAAAAGTATGACCACCATCAGAAATACGAACTACAGCTGTGACTGGCAGGCAATGGAGGTAGAGGGCGGTCGTGAGCCAGGCAAACTGCAATCCGATTGCATCAGCGGAAGAAATACTTGGGCCAGAATTACTTGGATGCGAATTTTGCGGGACGATGGATTGGGCGTGGTGTTCCAGTCCGATGGCCACCCCGTTCACTAGATTTATCCAGCGTGGATTTCTTTCTATGGAAGCATATGAAAAGCATTATTTAAGAGACTCCTTTTGACTCACTGGAGAACATTGTCTCCCGAATATCTATTGCGGCTGCAAGCGTAGGCGAAATGCCTAACATTTTTCAAAGCGTTCGACGAACTCTTCTAGGACGCTATCAAGCATGTATTACTGCTGGTGGTCGCAATTTAGAACATTTCTTGTGAATATTGTATTGCTGCAAAGAAGCGCTTTGCGTTGATTCTGTGAATAAGCTCATTTTTCCTCTCATGCCATTTTTTGCGCTCGTGCCTTAACTTTTCACTTTGGACCCTACATTCTTATACAAAAAAAAAAAAAAAAAAAAAAAAAAAAAAAAACATTTTAATGTTTCACTCCTCTCTTTATATTTTTCAATAAGAGAACGTAACATTTCTAGTTCATTTTGATGAATATCAAATTTTAATTTTCAAGCTTCTTCCTGCTCTTGCCCAGATTCAGGTTTCATCCGATTAGTTGTATCTTCACACTTTTCATTTGACTCCTTATGCTTTTTATCTTCTCTGTATTCCCCAAGAAATTTCATCACTTTATCATATTCAGCTTTTAGCTCTTCATATTCTGCTTGCACACTTGACAAGCACTGGCTTGTTTCAGTGGAACTGCTTTGTGCAGATTTCAATGCATGTTATAAAATAATGACTTCTTGTTGCAACCTTTGAATTATCTCCTCATCTACAGATTTTCTTTCTTTGTGAGCATTTTGACATTCTTCAGTTTGTTTTTTCAATACCTCACAGCATCTTTTACACTCCTTATTGTCAGAAGAGGATCCACATGTAGGTTTTGGTTTATCTGCAGAATCTCCTGTTTCTTCATTTGTGGAATTAATCATAGCGAAGCTTGCATGATCAGAAGAAGATGTATCAGATTTTCTTTCTAATTCTTTTACTTTCAATTGAAGCTCTGCATTCTCTTTCTCAAGTTGCTGAATTATTTTTCGAGATTCATGTAAGGAATTTTGATGCAGTGACATTGAAGCTGTCACTTGACTATGCCAGGCAGTGACAGTGCTCATCTGCTCCTGCATGATAACATTGTTTTTCTTCAGAGCTTCTTTCAATGCTGCATTTTCTTCCAAAAGTTCAACAAGCCGTGCTTGAATTTCAACACTAAGATCTGCTGTAGAAGATGTCATTGCAGAGTGCATGTTGGTCAAATCAAAATTTTCTTCAGGATTTGATGCTGGGATAAAACTGAATTCTGCTGAATCAAAAGACTCAGAGAGACCATTCTGATTAGGCAAAACTTCAAATGAAGTCATTTCATCAAAAGAATTTTTTTCCCACATGAAAAAGCAACGGCAATCAGATATTAGAAAAACATAACAATCAATAAACGTTGACTTCCTTGCACACATTTTAATGTGCTCAACCACCCCTCAAGTTTGTTCCATGATCATAGAAAGAAGTCTATGATCACGGGAAGTCTTGTTCCGTTTCATAGGTTTGGCGAGTTCATGTTACACAGCAATATGAATTGGTTCGGATCCGTAAGTCATCGAACTCTAAAGGCGTTCATTACGACAAGTTAGCTCCTTACTATGGCCATAGTACGTAGTGTATATAGTATAAAGCCATGGTCCTTTTTGTTTCTAAATTTGTATTTGATTTGTATCTAGTGTTTGATAGAATTCAGTGGCGTAGCTAGGGTGGGGCAAGGGGGGATATCTGTCCCCGGGCGCAGCATTCAGGGGGCGCCAAATTGATGTTGCGAAATTTTTAGAATGAAATGTTTTCCGTTCTTGGCACAGAGAAAGGGGCGTAAAATCTTCAGTTGTCTCCGAGCGCTGAAAATCCTAGCTACGCCTCTGATAGAATTTGATATTAATTGATTTGTATTTAGTATTTGATTTGTTTTAAGTGACTTATTGCAATTTATTGTTTATGTTGTTTGTTATTGTAAGGTAATGTTTGTTAGTGCCTTGATGCCTTAGTTATAAGTTTGGCTTTCTGTCCAGTAATTGTACTACCCGGGACGGGCAGTCCTTGGGAAGGGGGCAGTGATACGGATTTTTTTATTTAATTTGGTATTTTAAATAGGATTATAGTTAAAATTGTTTTATTTCCCCGAGCAATGCAGCGCGTGATGAGTTTTAAGATAAATAAACTCCGAAAAATACAGGAGCACGCGCATTTAACATTTAATAAATATATATCTGGTAATTGTACTCTTTTGCTTTCCAGAAACCTTGAGAAAATACCAGAATGTTCTCGTGCATGATTTAAAAAGCTTAAGCTAATCGTTGTCGCCAAAACTTTTAGCAGTTCTGATATTTCTTTAACATATTATAATAATTTTACAATTACCAAATATTTTTACACAATGTATCTGAAAATAGACATAGATAAGACAATACAGACAAAGAAAAAACGAAAATGTTTTCGACGCATTCTTTTTATTATATAAACGTTCATTTTACTTGCTTTGCACATGATGCTGTCATTGCATCTGTTAGTTATCTAAAATATTTACATTGTTCTATGTCTTAAATTTAGAAATTAAAATTAATGACCTAAAACTGCAATAGTATTATACAGTAGAAGTGAAAAAATGGACAGTTTCGGATTTGCGCAATACGTATGAGGTCCCACAAAATTTTAGTAAATATTATGGGGTCCTGGGGTCGCGAAAAAAATCTCAGTGATAAAAAGGGGTCTCGAGTGAAAAAAGTTTAAGAAGCCCTGCTTTAAATAATATAAAAATTACAATAAAATATGTTTTAAATGGCCATAAATTTAATTTTGATGAACATATGAATGCAAATTGCTGAAAAATATTGGGAAAATAGTGGTTTATGAATATTAATGGACATCTAGAATCAGTGCAATTTCGTACTATAGATAGGCCTACGCTTCATTGTTTTTTGTTCTATTATGTCCTAATTGTTCACTGGAATTTCTGCCAGCATTTCTTTTCTAAAAAAATAGATTAAAGGAACGTGATGAAACTATTAAATTTTACTGCCTATAATTTTACCTGCATATTTTATTTTTAAGTGTTTTATACTTTGTGTCACATTTTATTTACATAACTGCATAAACTTCTGCATTCTACCTATATTTTGTAATTTTAATAAATAATTTCTTTTTCCAATTGTAAAGCAAACGAATTCTTTCACCCACATTACAATTTTTTCTACAAAAAATTATTTTCAGCCTGTAGAAAAAAGACAACCAATTAACAGGACTTCTTAAATATCCGGATAAGATGTGGTCTGAAATCCGATGTTTGGAGTTCTACTGCGTGATATATCGATCGATAAAGCTAATATACTTACCTAGTATTAATTGACAAAGCTAAGATAAATCATAATGACAATTCGCTCATCAATTATGTTTTTGCTAAGCATAACAGCGTTTTAAAATATTGGTATTTAAAAATTGATTTCACTAATTATTAAATTAATTAAATAATAATTATTTTCGTAATAAATAACTATTTAATTTTAAAATTATTAGTGATTTTAATAGTCATTTTATTTATTTATTTACTTTTTTCCTCTTTGCTGACGGTCTTCCATAGGGCTCCGGCACTTTTAATTTTAGAAATTAAGCCCTGTGAAAAAAAAACCTAATAACTCTACAAGCGAATGTATAATTAAAAACATATAGCGTCTAACCATTTCTCCAACGCTTCAGTGAAAACGATGTAAACTAGCTATTGTCCTTATCCCTTATTCTACAGAAAAGGGAAACAACTGAACCATTAAATAGATCGCTTAAATAATATAAAGAGAACAATTAACTGTCATATAGGGATGAAATAATGATATAGAAGATAATTTATATCACATCCCTTCTATCTCACTGAATTTTTTTTTTTTTTTTTTTTTACATGAAAAATACTGGAGTTTTGTATACTTACATGAAATCACTTTGTATTCATTTATTTTAATAACTCCTATGTACTACTTGCTATATATAGACTTGCTATATCTGATAGTTATTTATTTCATTATTAAAGGAAGCAGGGTCATCTCAAAAACAAAAGAAATATTTTTAATTGCAGGAAATGTTCAAAAATTATTATTATTATTATTACTTTTTTTTAAGCTTAAGATACCCGACAATAAAAAAGAATCTAATCATCATCAAATTTAAAGAACTCCAAGAACCAACATAACTTTCATGTTCAGATCACAACAAGATTGTAGTATTCTTGGTTTTAATTTTTCCTCAAAACATCCAAAAAATAAAGAATTGGTTTTAATACCTTTTTTAATTTTCTTAGTTAATACCTGCAGCAAGTGTAAATTATTGATTTTGAACTTTCCTTTAAATTTTCAAAGAATGAAATTAAAAAAAAAATATTTAAAAAATCTGAAAGCTTTCAGATTTTTAAAATTTTTCAACACCCATTTCAACACCCATTTGGGGCAACACCCATTTGGCAACACCCATATTTCAACACCCATTTGGGGCATAATAAAAAATCTGAAGGCTTTCAGATTTATTATTATGCCCCAAATGGGTGTTTTTTTAACGTTTTATGTGTGTTACTTTATTTATTAAATATCATGTTCTTCTCACTTAAACCATAAAATTCAGCTCAGCAGCAACATCACAAAATATTTAAGAAGAGCATATCTTTAGAATTTCCGATATAGAGTCTCGCGCGCTAGAGATAAAAAGTCTTTTTTTTCTCTTTTTTTTCCCCTTCCCTACAGTGTTGCCTTTGCTCGCTTTGAAGTCGTTGAAATTGTTAATTGAAAATTCGTTAAATTTTTTACAAAATATGAAATAGATAATAACACAAATCTCAAATTCCGAATTTGGGCATCCAGATGCCCATATTCGAGTGGAGGACTACGTTACGCAAGAAATATATCCGTACATTCATGCAGATTCTTTATTATTTAATAACTTAAAATATAATGCAGGGCTCTAATATTTGGTGGCAACAAGTTGAAAAGTGAAACGCGGTTTTATACGGAACGACGCAAAATGCCAAAACGAAATTAATAGCCCTTGTGTGCAAATAATTAAGATGTTACTTTTGTGCGACGTAGTGTTAACAAATAAAGAAATTCATATAACATAACGTTTAATGCTAACTGTAGTTCGTTGAAATTTTGTGCATTAATTTAATTGGACTGAGTTTCAACTAAACTGAAGTTAGCACCAATTTTATGCTTACTTGTATATCGAACGTCTTTATGTAGATTATTAATCTGTGGATAATACTTTTCAAAACTTCTTCCAGATACGTGAAATGAAAGTGCACATGAAAAGTGTTCTTGTGATGTAGAAAAATTTCGAAATAAAATATATTGATGCAGTAATTCAGAGTTCAAAACTTACAAACAGAAATAAGAAGAATGAGTCTTCACAAAAGAAATCAATACAGAAATGTAGAAGCAAGCTGTGAAGCTGCCGTATGACAACTGGCAGATCGACTGTCACTATCATAATCCTATAATCCCGATCGATCGTCTGTCTACCATATACTTTGGGATATTATGTTTTCAAAAATAGGCAAAAAAAAAAAAAAAATAATGAAAGGCAGATTTGTACTGTATGTTTTCGTTTGTATAAATACGAAACATTGTAGAGACATTAGGTTTTTTTATAGGCGGGAGAGATGAAAAATTTGCAATGCCTTCGCTGGGAATCGAACCGCGAACCTCTGAATTACGCGCTGAGCGTGCAGACCACTACACCACGAAGGCTCGCTAAGAAAGCGGGAGAAATACCTTATATATCCCCCTTTTAAAGGGGGACTGGGGTTTTTAGGGGACCCAGTCGCCAATTCCGGGGTTAGGAGAATCATCATCCAAGACCATTTTAGTTCGAGCGCCACTGTACAGACATTATGATTTTTTTAATAAGCCGGAGAGATGAAAAATTAGCAACGCTTGGGAATCGAACCGCGGACCTCTGGAATACCGGTCCAGTGTGCAGACCACCACACCACGAAGGCACGCTAAGAAGGCTGAAGAAACACTTTATAACATTATACCCATTATTTCGAAGCAGAATATTAACTGCAGCTTTATCAAAAAATGATTTTCAATATACAAACTGTAAAATAGTCTATTTTGCTGTCCTTGCTTTCTTTTTGAGTTAGAAATGTTTCTTAATTAATCATTTATTTTTCTTAACATCCGTCAGATTTAGAAAATTATTTCTTTAATACGATATAATTACTTTGACTGTTTCCCTTGTACTTTCTTTTTCACAAATTTAGGAGATAATATTATACTTTATTGTACTCAGTAGTTTTCGTATACAAAACACAGCTGTCGTAGCGACCACCTTTCTGAGGTGGCCATTTCTGAAAGCGACTTATACTTCTAAGAACATTAATGAGCATTTATTCTGAACTTCAATGTGACCACAACCACTGAAGGGAAAAAAA